AACTAGACAAAACTCACAAAATCCGATAATCCATTTAATTACGAGTCCAATCATACTAGTTTCACTCAAATCCGACTCCGAATCGACATTCAAATCTCAAAACATCGTTTTATGAAACTTTAGGCTAAAACTCCCAATTTGTCTTTATAATTCATAATCCAATTACCAAAAACGAAGATAGAATCACGAAATATAATCAAAATTGAGTGTATAACACTTACCCCAATCCTCGTAATGAAATTTGCTTCAAAAATCGTCTCAATACGAGTCCCACATCTCAAAATATGATAAAAGGACCCAAAACCTCGATATATAGTTCTGCCCAGCAAATTCCGCATTTGCGAACAAAAGGGCCGCTTCTACGACGTCGCTTTTGTGACAAAACTCCGCTCCAGCGAAAAACACTGGAACTCCACCCTTCTTCACCTGCGCAACAGGACCCGCTTTTGTGCAAGCGTAGGTGCGTCACAAGCTACGCTCCTACGGACATTCTCGCTTCTGGGATCACTCATACCGCTTCTGTGCTACCGCAGATGCGGTCCACTTCCCCGCTTCTGTGGATGCCCTGTTCCAGCTTACTTCACTTCTGCGTTTACTTGTCCGTATTTACGGCTCCGCACCTGTGCCCAATATTCTGCAGGTGCGGTCACACCAGGTTCAGCAAGGGCCATCCATCCCATATGAATGAAAGATGATCTCAAACACGTCTGTAACTCATCCGGGCCTCTCGGGACCCCGTCCGAATATACTAACAAATCCCATGACATAATACGGATCTATTCGAGGCCTTAAATCACACACAACAACGTTGAAACGATGAATCGCACCTCTAATTGAACTTAAGTGAACTTGAACTTTTAACTTCCAAAATTAGCGCCGAAACACATCAAATCAACCCGGAATGAAGTCAAATTTTGCACACAAGTCCCAAATGACATAATGAAGCTATTTCAATTTCTGGAACCATAATCCGAATCCGATATACTCAAAGTCAACTTCCGGTCAAACTTATGAACTTTCCAAACCTTCAAATTTCGAAGTTTTGCCAATTAGTGCCGAATCCTTCTAGATATATCCAATTACAAATATGGGAATATGCCCGATTCCAAAATTACTACCCGAACCTAACTGACCTATCAAAACTTTGTTCCGGGGTCAAATTAAAAAAAAAGTTAAACTTGGTCAACTCTTCCAACTTAAAGCTTCAACGATGAAATTCATTCTTCCAAATCAATTCTGAATAACCTGAAAACCAAAACTGATGATTCACATAAGTCATTATACATCATACGGAGATAATCATACCCTCAAACTACCGAGCGAAATGTAAATACTCAAAACGATCGATCGGGTCGTTACAAATAATAACCTTGAAAAACAAATCCATGTATTACTAAACTGTTATAACCCCGATATCACGAGTAAATACTTCAAATGAGAGTCTACATAATCTCACTAATGAACCTAATAGGCTTTAAAATGACTTGATGGCTATGTTCATATCCTAATAGTGGCAAAATGAAACTCCAGACCATAAACCTTAAAGCAAATATGGAATTTTTTAAGGTTTTGCATACACATTCCACTTATTAAACATAAAAGCCATCAAAAGTTTAACAACAAAGTTGTCCTCAATTCAACAATCTATCATAGATATATAAAGTTACCATAAATAATTACAAGACCTTCTAAATATCTATTATTGGTACATGAAAGCAAACCTCAAGTTTGAATGTTTGGTACAAGACCTCAAGTCTACTTGAGGGATACTTAAAGCGGTTCGGTTTGAATGTTTTCAAAGCTCAAAATACACTGAAGAACTCAAATTGTATCACTTGCATTCATTCTTGATCAAGGATTTCAGTACATTAAAGGAATTATCTGGATAACGAAAAAAATGTCAGAAATGGATGAACTAAAAATCAGCAGCAGTGACATTAACAAACAACAAAGGAACAACATCAAACAACAGAACAAAGAACCAGATAAACCAACTCGAATAGACCTCGAATCTCAACAAATGTTTAGGGAGAGAAGACCCAAAAACTAAACTTCAAGGACCTTTGTTCTTTGAAGTATTTTTGTTTTCGAAAAACTCACTCAAAGCTCTCACGTTTCAGCCTAGTTGAGGATTTAGGGCGTATTTGTTGACCGGAAGTGAGCTTGAGAGCGAGGTAAGTCTCTTACCTAACCTTGTAAGAGAGAACTCATCCCCTTAGGTGTATTTTTATTGTGAATTACTTGTGTGGGGATCTACGTACGCACTAGGTGATGAGGGTCTATGCGTAGCTTTATTCCATAAGATGTCTGGGTAGTCTTAGATTCACATCATGCTTTAATTGTACTGTCATGTTTGTTATGCATATTAATTATCTTATATAAAGTTGAGACTAGAGATTTTAAAGTTGAAAACTTCCAATTTAGATTTCTTATTTTGGGGAAAGAATTGAAGAATAGTTAATAACTCTGAGAAATCCATGTCCTCTCGCATCGCAAGTACTTCTGCGAGCGAGGTAAACTTCGCTATTCTCATAGGAGCGGTCCGTTCACCTCGGCAGTATAATAGATGCATTTATGGTTCGTGTCGTTCAACCCTCGGCAGCACACACAACATTTTGGATCGGGTCGTACGATCTCGACATAAATCGTGCGTGATAATACTCGGAACCCGATTACACTTGATATTATGTTATGGCTTGAGAGGTATAATTTATTTAATGACTGAAAGTGATTTGGAACTAGTATGTGTTAGATGAAGATTTTGAAATTAATTATCAGTAAAGAATCATTTATTCACTGTCTGCTATTGTGTTGTTATTATTATTCCATGCAAGTTTAGAATTTCTGCATTTTATTATTGGCCCATATTAAGTGTCGATGTCGACCCCTCGTCACTACTTCTTCGAGTTTAGACTGGATACTTACTGGGTACATGTTGTTTATGTACTCACGCTACACTTTTACACTAATCGTGCAGGATCTGAGGCCGGTGCATCTGGCAATTATTCCGGCGCGCATCCTCGATACCCCGAGGCTTAGTGGTGAGCTGCTTTCCGAGTCCGTTCTGCAGCACCGAGAGTCTCTCTTTTTTGCATTTTCTTACTGTCTATTCTATTTCAGACAGTAGTTTAGTGTTTTATATATTTTACTAGTGGCTCACACACTTGTGACACCAAGTCTTGGAAATATGCTAGTAGATATTTGATGGCTTGAGTATTTATGTCACCACACTTGCTCTTATATTTGTTTACGCTTTATTTTATTAAATTTTTCACCTCCTATTTACTTAATAAATAAAAATTAACTATTTCATGTCCAGTTCATCGTTGGCTTGCCTAGCGGTGACGTTGTGCGCCATCACGACCTATAGGAGAAATTGGGTCGTGATAGAACTAGAACTTAACTCACTAATTGAATTTACAAAGCAAACATAACTTCAGTCGTAACTAACCTAAATACTTCAACTAACTAGATTAAACCAAAATAAATTATGCGAACTAACAACTGAACAACCGAATCATTGACTAGTAGTAATTGCTTAACTGACAAATCTTCAATGGTGACATTAACAATGAACTAAGCGGCTAGTTAATTTCGATTTGGACTAGCATAACACATTGGCAAGGGATATAATTGACCGGCTAGGTCGGACAATAAGAATTCCAAATATAACTATACTAACACATGGATCGATCACATTCGAGCACTAATAATCAGTAAAGACCAACAATTGAATGTCAAAATTACAAAAGATGAATTTAAACCCAAAGCATGGCATGCTGGTCTAGAATAAGAAAAATAATGCAAAAGGACGATATTTGGTATTTAGCACTACTCGAGGCGACGATTCCGACCTTCGAGAACCCTTTTATTGATGATAGATGATGGTTCGGCCATCCTTGAACCCACAACCTTGGCGCCATCATCGTATCACAAAGAAAAGAATGCTTAAGAGTAGGGGAGGAAAACTGGAGGAAGGTATGGCAGTTCGGTGGTGGACAGCATCAGAGCGGTCGACGATGGTGGTGGTGCTTTTGGGGTGAATCTAGAGGGAAAGTGTAGATCTACTTGAGATATACACGTCTATGTAATATTTGTGTGGTGTGGTGGTCGTATTTGTCACTAATTCGAGAAAGAAAAGAGGAAAATTTGGGTGGCTAGGGTTTCGGATTTGGCCGGATTTGTGGAGATTGGTGAGGATTTAGAGGATTTGGAGGTTGGAATCGGAAAGAGGAGGTTGAGATTAAGGGGGTGAAATTTTGGTGGTGATTAGAGGTGACTGGCCGTCAGTGGGAGATTTTCGGCGAGCGACGAACGATGGTGGTGGGCGGAGCTGACAGAGGTTTAAGGGAGAGGGGAAAGAGTGAAAAGAGAGAGGAAGAAGAGAAGAGGTATGGGAAACAATGGGCAAAGTTTTAGGGATATAAGGCTTTAAGTACCTAGGGCAGAGAGTGAATGAGATCTTTTGGATCAAGATGGAATGGATGGGTAAGATTTTATCTTACTTCATTTATTGAAACGATGTTGTTTTGAACCAGGTCTTGGCCAGCCATTTATTGGACTGGGTATGGCCGAATTAGGCTCAAATTTTGGGCCTGATTTGCGCATAATTCATCTGAAATGGGCATTTAATTTAATCCCTTGAACTCCCTTAACAAACTAATTAATAATCTAATGCTAAAGTCTATAAACACACACAATAAACATAGAAAAATATATTGTAGGAGAAATAGAAAGAACAAAAAAATAGATATTTACACGTGCATATTCTAGGTTATAGCTTATAGTCCATGCGCAGAATCGAAATAAAGATTGTCTTTCTTTTGATGTCATAGATAAGAGAATTCCCTCTTTGAAACGGCATGTATTCATGTCACAAATCTCATGTAAAATTTGCAATGAATATGACTAAATTTTGACTCTTAAACTAGTACGGAGTATAAAAGGACAATATTTAATTGAGATGAAAGGAGTCGAGTATCTCAGCAAGGTCTAAGGAGTAAATAGTGGTGGCAAAGAAGACACATTTTATAATAACCCGCCCATATTCAAAGCGAGTTGGGTGATATATGTAGTTACATTGAACAACTTGTAAACAAGTAGAATGTGCACTTTAATTGAATAGAAAAAGCAGAAGAAAAAAAAAACGTGTACAAGCATGTGATGTTGCTCCTAGGTTGCCACTGGAGAAGATTTGACTGCAGCTTTAAAGATGCTATCAAAAGCGTAGTCAATGCAGGATTTCAACTTGTTTGGATCTATAAAACCTTTCTCCACTACCATTGCTATTCTTAGCTTATCCACATAACTCACCATTGTCACTGAACAACTCTGCCAAAAACAGAACATACAATTTGCTAAATGGTATATATTAATGATAGCAAAATAGATAAAGAAAATATATTCATTCATACTATCCATTAAAATATGAGTTGGATAATGAACTTTTTAAAAATAGGTCAAATGTGGATTAGATCCATATTATTCACCTAAACAATGAATAATCAATAGGTTTAATTTTTATATTTGCTAAAACACAAATTTGGGGGTTCTCAAGTTTGGCGAGACTAAGAGGGTGTTTGGATTGGCTTTTAAGGTGGTCAAATCAGCTTTTAAGTTCTTTTTAGCTTTTTTCAGTGTTTGGCAAAGTCAAAAAGTGTTTAAAATAAGTTTAAAAACAGCTTAAAACAAGCCAAAAACAGTAAGTTGGGCAACCCCAACTTCTTGTTTTTTGGCTTAAAAGCTATTTCTGCTGAAAAACCAAACGTGGTCATATTTCAAAAAGTCATTAATAGTATGATATCTATATTATCCGTTGGTTAACCCATTTTCTATTCATATTAAATATGGATTAGGTCATATTTAATCTATTTTTACATTATCCGTTTTCAACTCGCTCGTATCCCATCCGACCCCACGTTTACCAAATATTTTAATAGAAAAAGATTTAAAAGGATTAGAAAATAATTAAGGCACCTGTGGAACACCGGTCACCATAAAATATAGTCCTTTTACAGGATGATTAGCCAAAGCCATCTCTTCCACTGGTCCTATCAGATTTGTCAGTCCCATGCTTGTGTTCTTCAATGATCCATGAATAAATCGAGCTGTTGCCTGAAATTTGAAATTACTTTCAAATGTTTCTCAACGATAAATCAAAACCAGAACGTAAAAGAATTTTAAGTAAATTACACCAAAAACACCTCTGTACATGTGATATAACACATACCTCAGGACCTCTTAGCTTTCTCAAGGTATCAAGAAATTTACTAGTAAGCCAAACAGAAGCAGAATTTCTTTTCCTGTCGATCATTCGATGAGCTTTTTGAACAAAGGCAAGAGGATTAATAGAGGAGTGATCACGTTTAGTCAAATTAGTTAGCTTAGGTAAAGAGACAGGCAAAAAAGTGAAATGATTTCCCCAAGGCATATCAGAATTAGGTTTGATCATATCATTCACTGACTTGTAACCCCCAAGAGCTCTAGTATTGAATAAAACGAGTGCAGTGCATTTTCCATTGCATGATTCTTGATTTACTCCTTGCATATATAATCTCGTTCCGTATTGCACTATCCCCGTTATCACATCGTTTATTGTCTGTCACAAATCACATCCAAGCTAGTTAAGAACCTGATATTTTAATCGAATTAGGGAAAAATTACATCTAGACACAACCACAAACTTAGCACAGGAATACATTTGACAAACATTACTAATACCCGTTTTTGGGTTAGACAATTAGGGTGTGTTTGGTACGAAGGAAAATGTTTTCCTAGAATAGTTTTCTTGGAAAATGAGTGATTTTATCAATTATTTTTCCTTGTTTGGTGGCGAGTGAAAAACTTTTTGAGGAAAATATTTTCTAGTGTTTGTTTAGAGAGTAGAAAATAATTTTTAGGAAATTAATTTTTTATGCTACTTTCCTTATCCACCTTCC